CAGGTGCACTAACAAGCCTACTGAGCAGAGTATCGTGCACCTGAACAGCAGCGCGTAAGCCACCAAATGCGAAGGAGAATGCCCGTACCAACGTTAGAAATGAGTTTATAATGCAAAATATGCAGAGCACAACCTGCACCACAAATTAATGCATCAACTAAACCTGGAAGCTAATCAGGACAGATTCTGGTATTGTTCTTCTTTGCATAATGATTATCCTAAAGCATGACAAAGGAAAAGAATATTATTTTAGAGGCAAAATAAACATAGAATGTGCAAGTGGAAGTTTCCCACACACTTTTGCAGAGCATACTGTATGTCATGAGACCAACCAAATGAATGGCTGTTTAGACAGTTTGACTGAGCAAATACTGTTAAGAATGATTTGATATATATTTTATTAAATATTACAACTCTATGTATACAGATTTCTAGGATGGATAAGCAAATTTATCCTCTTTTTGAACTCCTCCTCAAGCTGGAGAGTAGATGTTGTCTATTTCCAACTTGCCAATAACAGTTTGAAATATTGGATTACTTACGTCTTTAATCCATACATCTATCAATTGAGAATTCATAGACATGTATTAGTTCATATTAGCCAGTTGTCAAGTATTTTTTTTATAAAATTTCTGTTGATTTCGATGTGTTTAGTCTTGTCGTATTGCACCAAATTGTCGATTTCGATCTTTGATAAAAATCCCAGATTTAGAGCAGAAAATTTCAATTCCGAAAAAATACTTCAACTTGTTTACATCTTTGATTTTGAATTCTTTTGCTAGACACTATTTTAGTCATGATTTCCTATTATGATAATGTTATCAACCTATAGTAGGAGAGTTGTAACTCTTCATATCTCTAAATATTTGATGAATAAAGTGTGATCTCCTTGAGTTTGCTTAAATGCTACATCTATCATCATCCTTATGAACTTACCAAACCATATTCTTGGCGATTGTTTAAGTACATACAAAGGAATCTTTATCTTACACACTTTATTTGATCCTACTTCTTTGTCAAAACCTTGTGAAATATTCATATAGATTATTTTTTTCTAAATTTCCATGCAAGAAGAAATTTTTTTTATATCAAACTGTTGTAATTGTCAATCAAAATGATGAGCGGAATCATTTTACTCTAGTACCAAATTGGGTGTTTATCATGTTGTAGAATTGGCGTATGATATGACTAACATCATCTTTGACTTCAAGTAAATAACCAAACGATTCTAGTGCAATCATCAATAAATAACAAATGACGGAGTTCTAAAAATAATAGTTGTCTAAATTGGTCCCTAAATGTCACAGTGAATTAATGAAAATTGAACTAAACTCATTTATTACTAACAGAGAAAGGTCAAATGCTTATGTTTACAAATTCACATATATCGCAGTTTAAATTTTTATAATCCAAATTGCTTAATCATGAGGGAAACATGACCTTTAAGATGGAAAAAGACGGGTGACCAAGTTTTTAATGATGGAGTCAAATCTTATGTGTCTTGCCGGTAATAGGAGAGAAGGATCCTCAGGTGCATCCAAGTAGTAGAATCTATTTATGACTTCAACGTGTCCAATTATCTTCCCCGAAATCTATTTCTAAAAGTTTCGGTGAGAAAAATCAAGTATTACTTTACAATTCAAGTCTTGTGATAACTTGTTGACGGACACAAAATTAATATATAGCTTGAGAACATGTACTACATTTTATAGAACAAAGATATGACTAAACTTAATGTTACCCTTACCTACAATAGTATTCGAGGAATCATCTGCAGTGATAATCTTGTTATTATAGACATGAAGCATATGTATGAAAATATTTAGAAGTATTAGTCATATGATCTGTGACTCCTAAATACATAATTCAAGAATTTTGAAAAGATTTATCTAAGATATTAAGTTTATGTGAGCTATAAGCTGTACCTGAGTGTGCCAATGAATTGGTACCTATATGTTTCTCCAGGAATTCAAGTCAATTCCTTAATCTTCTAATCTCTGTTTTGAACTCACTAAAATCTAAAGTTCCTATGGTGGGATCTGCTCCAGTGACTTGAGATGTTACCTCTAACATGCTTTATTTTTCTGGCAATTAAGGTTATTGGGACAATTTCTGATTGGAGCTGCTTATTGAAAGGGAAAAGAAAGACAATAGCATCTGTTGGCTGTGTGCAGAAGAGGCGCGCAACTGTCTCTGCTTGCAGCTAAACATAATGTGTTCACTAGAGTTGAGAAGGGCAGAAGCAGGGCAAGACCAGGGGCCATGTGCACGAAGCAAAGTTTGCAAAGCAGAGCGCACAACAGAGCAAAACAGGGGCTACGCGTGTGAAACAGAGCACGCGAAACAGGGCAGAAGCAAGGCGGACATCCAAGTAGAGCAAAACACAGAGCATGCGGCTAAGCATCGCAAAACAGAGTATGTGCCTGAACAGAGCAAAAACAGAATGCACGAGTGAGCAGAGTAAGAACAGAGCGGTGCAAATACTAGATGCAGCTACTGTTCTGGCTGAAACAGGTGCGAAAAGAGAGGCAAAAAGAGAGTTGGTATGGCTGAAATAGGCCACACGGGAACAAGCTATATTTCAGCACAGCAGGGCTGTTTTTCCTGTGTGGCAGGGGCATTTCTGACTATGAACGACGGCTTGTGTTTTATGAGGGCTGGATGTGGATTAAGGGTTTTTCTTTTTGTCTTTCAACAATAAAAGCCACTTTAAGGTTTTTGGAAAGAGTTTAACGTTGTTTTTAACGTTACTCTAATACTATGTTAAAAATAGTTTGATATACATCCTATTGAATATTACAACCCTATAATATAGATTTCTATGGTAGAAAAAGAAATAAACAATTAATTACAATTATTACAAATGATGTAATTTACTGTTTTACCCTTCAACCTAACTTACCTTTTCTTTAACAAATGCTTTCAAGTCTTTGGGCAACAGAGGACTTTTTTTCTACTTACAGCTGCTCACTTTTCAAATGCTATAGCTTACAGGTGGTAATGTTTATACCAGAATGTCAGGATATGGATTTCTCATTTGAATTGTTTATCTATATTCTGAGTATTTAGACTCATCACTTATATGTTCTAAGTAAAGGGGCAAAAACATAATCCAGAATAAATAGAACTAAAGAAGGCACGCCATAGCATTGCAATTGCTTGAGAACTAAGAGAGATTATGTATATATTATATCTTTTCCTTCAATACCAGGTAAAAGAATGTTGAGTATTCTGTTTGACTTCTTTCTGTTGTATCAACCCAATAGGAGAGCCACAAGTCATTTCCATTGCGAGAACCTTGCATTAAAATTGCTGAAAGGATTATTACAGCTGTAATAAACCAACCAGAAAATGCGGCATAGTTTCTGTCAAAGTGAATGAATAAATAATTATAATATAACCAGAAAAAGGAAAGGTATGCCAACATTTCATTGGAGCACCTAGAAAATCTCCACTTCCAAAATGTATAAACCACCTGGATAAAATAAACCCTCAAAAAATAATTATTTACTCACTTGTACACAATAAGTTCAACTTTGCCCTCCTTCCTCTGCTCAGTGTCAATGATCTCTTGAGCTTCGGTAGAGACACTTATATCATCTTTCTCTAGTTGCAAACTATTCTCAGCTTCTGTAGAAGTTTTTTCCCTATACTCTTGAGTTTGAACATGTGAAGATGTATCAAATTCATTCAGCGAAGAGAATGCCAGATATACGTAGTCTGTCAAGTCTGCTGGACTTCCTGACCACTTAACTTGGCCCTTTTCCATTATCACCACTATATCGGCTGAGGATATTGCCTGAGAGGATTGAACTAAGAATTAGGTCATCTTCAAATGGTGGTTGAATTTAGTATTAATTTGCTCTAACAACATTATTGATGCAAGACAATTAGTCTTTGAAACTAACATGTCCAGAGATAGTTTCAGAATTGAAAGAATAAAGATGAGGAAAAAAGAAGAATAAAAATAGGCTAGAACGAATTAAATGTCAAAGTTAAGAAATATAGGAAGAGATTGATAGAATATGGTAAGTTAAGATAGAATAATAATTTGAAAAAAGAATACAGAAGAGAGAAAGAGAGGGATAGATAATGTGGAATAAAACCCTAATACATAAATTCTGAGTTCATTATTTTAATATTTGTTATTAACAACTAATGACTTTTGTACAGGAACTGATTAAAACTAAAAAAAAAAATAGTCCAAAAAAAGATGCTAAATCTCATAAACTCAATCTACCTAAATAATGAAACAAACTAAAACAACCACATACTAACACAAATTACATAGATCTTCTTAGTATTAAAAATATTCCAATTAAAGTTTTTCTTGTTTTGCATCATTTTACTCCAAGTGGTGAAAACTTGACCTCGAGTTTTGACGTGATAAGCCATTAGCGATGGCAAGCCAAAAACAGAAAGTTCAAACACCTCAAATTGCAACTTTGGATACTTATATTCTTCATTAGAAAATAATAAATTGGTCATCAAAATTGGAGAGGGGCATAAGGCAAAACAACTTCGCATCAAAAAAGGATGCTCAACATGATCAGCATCGATTAAAACATCTTCTATAGAAGGATTTGAGGTGATGTTCTTCTACGCTAATAGTGGTTTAGAAAGAAATTGTCTTCATTAGAATATCTTCACTAAGCCTGAAAATGTTCAAATTACTTTGTTGTAATTCTGCATCAGCTTCTCTTTGCTAATTAGTCAAAGCTAAAAAGAAATTATTTGGGTTATATGCGCATTATGATAGATAGATGGATGATTATATACTCCATATCCTTGGGTGAAAAGGTTGTCATACATAAAGATATTAAAGATATCAAAGGTTGTCATACATAAAGATACTAAAGATATTAAAGGTTGTCATACATAAAGATACTAAACATATTAAAGGTTGATACTAAAGATATTAAAGGTTGTCATACATAAAGATATTAAAGTTTCATACTGTAAGATAGTTTTCTGTTAAATTGAGATTTCTAAGCAAAGAAATTGGAAATATCATATTGTATGTGTGTCAAAACAAATGGCTTTATAGTCATTTCTTTTGAGATAAAAGAGTAGAAAATATATTGAGTGTAGGCACCAAGGGGGTGCCACCCATATACAAAATTTATTAATCTAAGAGTATATCTACAATAAAACTAAAATCATCAAGATTACAAAGGTGACATCCAAGTATAATGGATCCAAAAAATGAAACTATTTATCCTTGATATTACCAAAACTATCCTCTTTGCCCCTCAAAAACTCGATTGTTTCTTTCTTTCTAGAGGATCCCAAAAAATGATAAGAGGAACTACTCAATAATTTTTGTTTCTTTTGCATAGAAATTTCAATCTTTGATTAGACTTTTATCGTGCCTGCCATAGACCATCTATTACCAACTACC